TTGTGAGAAGATCTAGCCTTGGGAGGCTCTGGTGGCAGATTTCGCCTTGCCACTTTTCGAAGTGCCGATTCGATTTCTCGGCCGTGATTTGCGCACCATTTCTTCGACTCGTAAGTCGCTGACGGCATCTGTTCGGAGCAATGGTCTGCCCACCATGGTCCGATGCTCTTGAGCTCATCGTATTGCGATGATACCCAGAGTGTTTCAGAGGGTGCGAATACGGCGCTAAGAGTACGGGCATGCACTACATCTGGTGTAGCAAACATCCCTACTTGCGACTGCTACAGGTTTGTGACCTCGTTCACTACGTTATTTGCATCGAATACCAGAAGCAGTGCCTTATTGGCACGCAACATGGTCGGATTGGGATTCGCCAGGTTTAGCGTTGAGAACTGAACAGTGTCCCTGTTGGAACGACTGTTTTCATTCACGAGAGCTTGGAAATCTGGTGCTGTAACCACCTGCGCTAGGAGGTTTGATGGTAACAGACCGTGCCTCAGGATTGAGGATAATGCCTGTAGGTCCGTGGCATGCATGATGTAACAAGGGTTGTTCTGTCGAACAAAATCCTCCATGCCGACGGGCCTTGGCGCGTTAGTGGAGAGACGCTGTGCATGGGACTGCACAGGATTGCTCCCCGTTGCCATGAAGTCTGAGATGGTCATGTGTGACCTTGGTCTCTCTTCTTCGGGATCTGGTTCTTCAGCTCTTGGTAGAGTTCGTCGTGAACCGTGTCCTCCCACTGCCGAAAGGAAAATTTTGCTCATGGTCAACACATTTGCATCCGGTGGGATGTTAACGGCGGCATCTGTGGTTTCGGCCTTGACATCTTTGTTATAAACCATGGTGACCACAAACCTAGACTTAGTGTTGAGGAGGACACCAAGCGCGATCTCTTGTGGTGTATACTGTGCGAGCTCTGCATCGGCCAACTTGAACATGTCCAGAAGATAATTGTGTTGGCCCGCAAAGAGATCTGGGCGCTGGTTCTGAAGGTGTCTTGTTGAGTGTGCCAACCACCTTCCGACTCTGTTGGTCTTGGAAAGAATGTGGAAGCACATCTCTGGTGAGAGACCTGTTACATCTGCCAGTTTTGGCACTGATGAGGAATAGTCATATTCTCCGGATCCATCAAGGCTCACACATTGTTCTACCTCCAGTGGGAGGCCTGTCTGAAGGTGTTGTGCAAGCATCGTACAGAACTGGTGTGGATCACGAGCGTGATTACCGACATTGTTATCCCAGTATACAAGGGGACTGTTGTCCCATGGTCCTTGAAGGACTCCTTCGTAGAGCCTGACTCCATGTCTGGAGGTTAGAGTGAGCCTTGCTCCACTCGCATGGCCATATCGTGAGATCAATTGAGCAAGATCTCTTGGATGCGGATTGAACACCTGTTGGTGACCCATGATGATGAATTGAGGCTCGTGATTTTTCTCACGTTTGTGAATTCGGTGTCCACCGTGTTCGGTGTTTCGACGTGATGCTTCCCGACGAGACTCGGGGTACGAGCTATCCATGTGTGGATGTCGATCATGGTACGCCTGCACTGCCCTGGGTAGGGCGTGTCCATCACGGCTACGGAAGTTTGATCGTGTGCTCATTACGGCACAATGACCAAACAGGATCAGGAACGCTTGGTTAGCCCGAAAGGCTGATTGCTGTGAGGCTCGAGGCTGAAAGCGGATGCGGATGATACAGAACATATAATTCTCATGAACATGTCCGATCTTAATGAAAACGCAGCTCGCAGACACAAATTTTCTTTTAGACGGAAAACAGTCTAAATAGAAAATCCAGCACATGGTTGTGCTACCAGCAAACGAGACTACCACCATATTCCTTGGCAGTAAAATAATCGGTAAATCTCTGTTGAGATATCAATTCCAAGGAAGGCTACCGCTGTAGCGGCATTCTTGAGATTGTCTATGATCCACCGAACAGTGAAAGCTTTATGTTGAAGAAGTTCACGGAAGGGTGGATGAATGTCTGTTTCTGGTAAATTCCCTGTTTCCAGAGCCTTGATAAGCTCATCAGGTTGCGCCGAGTGCTTTGTTAATGCAGAGTTGGATTCCTTACGAAGCATCTGAATGAGGTGGTGAGTTTCCTTCTGCTCTGGAAGGTGTGTCGTGCCTGCTGTTGTCACAAGATTGTTCGCATCTGTTCTGATATGTATGGGTACGGTCTCGCATCAGTGCGTTAAGCTCTGCCACTGTTGTGGACATTGTGGTTGTCGTAATCTTGTGAGACTCATAATCCACCAGGCTACCTCTCGAGGATGTTTCCTTAATAGAGGATTCAGAGAAATCGTTCTTCTTGGAAGAAGCAGCTGCTGATTGCTTCATTCCCTTTAGCTTTGAATTTCGATCTTCAGCAAGGAAAATAACATGTGCTCTCTGAGATGATTTGTCAAGCTTGTTCAATTCTCGAATATCACCGATAGTAGGCTTGGCAGCCTTACTCGCACACCGACTGAAGCGATAACAGATGTGAGCTTGAGTCCGGCTTTGTAGCCAGTTGATCTGTCCTAAAACACTTCTGTAAGCAGTGTGCTGCTGTGGTGTGCATTGTTGCTCATTGTTGAGCTTCTTATCAAAAACAATTTCCTCTGAGATATGTGCTGGTACCGATGCTGTAGCATCCTTCCAGACTAATCTCTTTCTTTCAAAAACCTGATGTTTCGCAAAGGTCGAGTGATATCAGATATCACGTATCAAAGCGATGCCAATCATATAAAAATCAATCCATCTCGGAATATGGCAAGATCAATCAGTAAGAGATATATTGTATCAGAGATCCTCACAATGTAAGTTAAATGAGGATTCACAGAACTCTCGCGCCACACTCTTTTTATTCGCACGGTGATCAAGGGTGAATTCTGATTCAGGAGCCCCCACAGCTCCGGCCAAACCGATGATCAAGCATCTCGGGTTTGGCAAGCTGAGATTTCCAAGATCAAGGGAGCAGCGTCCTGAATGCCCCCCCGTCCGTATTGGGTGGGAGGGTGGGAAAGAAAAATTTCTTGCCTCTCTCTTTGAGCAGACTCGCGGGGAAGCCAAAGGTATCCGATCTGCTTGTTCAAAGACAATGAAAGTTCTCATGCAAGAAATGTTCTTCAAAACTCACATGCAAAACACGGCAGCTCTGCTGCCTGTCAGGTTTTTAAAAGAAAGAAAAGTCTGCAAGCAGAAAATGTTCTTCTTTCAAAAACCTGATGTTTCGCAAAGGTCGAGTGATATCAGATATCACGTATCAAAGCGATGCCAATCATATAAAAATCAATCCATCTCGGAATATGGCAAGATCAATCAGTAAAAGATATATTGTATCAGAGATCCTCACAATGTAAGTTAAATGAGGATTCACAGAACTCTCGCGCCACACTCTTTTTATTCGCACGGTGATCAAGGGTGAATTCTGATTCAGGAGCCCCCACAGCTCCGGCCAAACCGATGATCAAGCATCTCGGGTTTGGCAAGCTGAGATTTCCAAGATCAAGGGAGCAGCGTCCTGAATGCCCCCGACATCACGCGAATCCCTGATGAAGGAATCTCTGGTTTGAGCTTTCATCGTGGATGAAAGCTTCCACGACCTTGGCGCCTACCAAGCTGAGGATGCTGTGCCCCTCACCTCGTGAAGGGGGATCGGCTATGTTGGAAAAGGAAGGCACTCTCTCGTACCAAGCGATACAAGGCGCCTCAGCTTCGATCACTGCAAGATAATGGGCGAGGCGATACATCGACTCGCTCTGGCTCAAACCTTTGATGGCTGAGGTGCGTGCGGCCTCGTTGTCAAGCCAAAAGATGACTCTTCTGTTGCACAAGCTGTTTTGGAGCATGCGACGCAGAGTAACCAAAGCGTAGAGCTCGATCTCGCATATGAGTTGCGATCCCACATCCAGCTTCCAGCGTTCCAAAAGCTTAGCAGGTACACAACCGGCAAAAACCCTGGCACTATCATCTAGCGTGTCAAGAACAACCGCACCTATTCCCGCCCAAGGATCTTCCCAAGCTCCATCCGTCCAAACATGAATGGGCGGTCGAGGGTCAAAGATGCGAAGGACTCTAGGTGGAGTGGTGCTCAAGACAGCCTGCGTAGTTTTGCAGAAGCGCTTTATTTCGGCAGCCGTTTGGCGCTTCCCCCTTACCAAGGAGAGCAGGAAGTGGCACGCTGGCTTCAAGGATCGGCCTGCAAAGAAACCTGAGGCATAGTTCAAGAGTCCAAGGAGAACTTGCGCCTCATGCCTGCCCAGGGCTCCCTTGTCAAAGATGCTGCCCAGCATTTCGGAAATGCGCTTGACACGGCCTTCCTTGTTTGCCAGCACGGCAGCACCTTCATGCAAACGACTGATGTCCAGCTGCATTCCGAGGACTGTGAAGGCCTCCTCGTACGGTTGACCCTTTACCCCGGTCTGGGCGAAGCGCCACCCCAGCAATTCTAGGAATTCGGAAGTTAAACCATCAAGCTCGTGGGCCCCATCTCTCAACGTGAAGAGAGGGTAATCGTCGAAGTAGTTGGCTGAAGGGATCTTCAGCAACTTTGGCCAGCAGGAAATGCAAGCTTCTAGCTACTCTTACAAATCCATACACCGACGATGTCAAGCCGAACATCAGTGCGTTCGCAATAAAGAATTGCGGTTCGCCATTTTCATTGGGATGGCAGATGACGGCGATGTCACGGTGTTGCGGGAGTACCCCTAGTTGTTTATAAGCTTTTGAGAGGTCTAGGGTCCGACCCACCCACTTCCTAGCAGCGACACCTAGGCGCTCTGAACGTTCCTTTTCGGCCTGGGAGATCAGCAGGGCCAGACCCGCAACGAAGTCGGCCCCTTGAAGTTCCAGCTTAATCAAGGAAGTGAAAGCCTCATTGACCTGCGAAGCATGCCCATCATCTATGGGTCGAATCTTCTTCTCAAGGCCTTGCTCAAGAACGAACCTGGGAATGATGCCCCAATCCGAATGGCCGAAAATTTCAGTGACCTGGGCCTCGGTGTAGGGTCCCTCTATGAAGTTATCGGTAACCTCGGAGTTAGAGGCCTCCTGAAGAAGCGAAATCTCTTCAGGGGTCGCACGGTTCGGTTTTGACAAGGCAGCACGACGGCGCAAAGAGGCAGTGGCCCTGAGTTCTGATTCGGACATGGAAGCCATGGCCACCTTGGTCTTAAAGCATTCAGGTTTTTCCGAAGTTCCTACCAAAGGCACCCCTTTCTTCATCAGATCCACTACCCCCATGTCGTCAAAGCCATGATTTTTCAAGAGAGACTCCCACAAGCAAATCCTTTTTCCTTTGACCACCTTCTCGAACCAAGGCGGGAAGGAGGCATGAAGTTTTGTCTCTTCCTCTTCAAGGGATTTGGCAAGGAGCTTCACCTTAAGGAGCTCAAGCTTCCTAAGCTGATTAGCTTTGGCAGAGTCATGCGCCATGCAAAAGTTGACGGCTTCCCACACAGGTGGGTCAACTGCGATCGCCTTGTCCACAGGATGCTGCAACGTTCGGGCTTTCGAGACATGCTGATCCATATTGAGCCAATGGCCTACCTTGACAGGTTTCAAGTTCTTTGGATCCGAAGTCTGACCCCCACTATCCCCCTCAACGTGGGTCAGGAGGATCTTGCAAGACTTATCTGGCTTGAAGCGGGGAGTTTCCCAGGTGACCTTGTGAAACTCCGGAATGAGCGGGGCATGCCGCTTGCTTTGCTTGGCTGCTGCAGCCATGGCCTTTGCATGGAAGTCATCGGGCGCCGTGAGGACCCGGCCCGACTGTGATGCTAGAGACGAGACACAGTCCGCCATGCGTGTGCAGAGCAAAGGCGGATAGCACGCACTGAGGCGGGAGTGCGACCACCATGGAGCATGCTCATGATCTTTGCTGCACTTGGCTGCCAGAGGGGAAAAGAGGCCTTTGGAAGCCAGAAGCTTGCACTGCTTGGGGCGGTCACCTCCATGCGCACACATGGCAAAGATAACCTGTTCAAGTTGGCTAGGCGGCCACCTGATGGCAGCCTGAGAAGCAAAGCGTTGGAAGACATGCCACAGCAAAGAGTTGGCCGGGTTTTCGACACTGACTGAAATGTTGGCGTTGAGGCATAAGCAAATGACATCGAAGCAGAACCGGAAAAGGGCATTTTCCTTCCTAAGCTTGATGCCTTCGGCAGAAGACCACACGATCTGGGGCACACCCAAGCAATGTGTCGGCGTCCGAAGCGTGCTCAAACGGGCGCCCTGTGATCGGCTATCGGGTTTCGCGGCCCGCTGGGAGGCTGACGCAGAACCTGCCGGCACCCCTAGGTGGACGTGAAAAGGTTTGCACTGCTTCAACATTGACATAAAGACCTCGCGACCTGCGTCTGTGGAGAAGTCAAGATTTGCAGTAGGGACCATGGCCCCGGCTAATTTAGCATCAAAGGCTAGAACCTTGAAGCCTTTCCGGAGGCAAGCTCGAGCGAAACCCCCAGTGCCCGAAAAGATCTCGAAGATCCACGTGTCATCAGGTCGCGGGGGCTGCGCCTGCTCGGCGATCTGAAGTGGGAAACCCAAGGAGGTCGGGGGCCTAAACCCAAGGGACAAAAGGGAATTTGCATCGGCAACAGGAAGTTTGGACAAATCAGAGACACAAAATGCCACAGCGATCAGTCTGTTGCCATGCCACGGTTCGGTACAATGGCCTCGGGAGTAAGCCTCGAAGGTGATGGGTCCAGCAGACACATCAAGCAATTCGCCAGCGGTCGGTGTGCCGTTGATGGGGCGCATAACCGAACCATGGTCACACTGGGCCCAGATGTGGCCTCCTGTGAACGCTCCGATCGGTATGACACCAGTGGGGGACTTATGATTCTTGGAATCTACATGCATTGATGTCATGGAATTGCAAAACAGGAAAACAGTCGTAAAGAAAAGATCCGGGAGTTGAGCTCGCACGAAAGCTGTAATAGCTTTGGTCGTTTGTGGGAAGTTCTTACACTCACCACGCAGACCTTGAAGCCCTCCCTGGGAAAAAGCCCCAACCCCAAAATTCGGTTGCTGAGTTCTGGCGTCAGGACGTAGCAAGCCATCCGCAACAAGATGTTCATGCAACTTTTGCAAGTCAAGACGGGACGGCGGCACATTGACTGAATTAAGAGTCTTCGCGAAAGACTCTGAGCATGTAGCTCGGCTTGCACCGTGGGCCAAGGGAGCTGCCTCAGGAGCTGGCCCACCTCCCGATTGGCTGGGTCACTGCATGCCATGCGTACATTCACTGTACGGGTGATTCTTGTTGCAGCCTATTTTCCAACACTGGTGAAATCCTTTCGGACACCTACCTTTCACCACCTTGGCCTTACAGGTGCCCAAGTTAAACCCAAAACAATTCGGTCGGTTCTGCGAATCACGTGCGGAACAACCTTCAGGTATCTCGATCCTCGGTGTCTTGCCCTTGCCCCCGCCTTTGTTGCCTTTGTCACCTTTGCCTTTCGTCTTCTTGGGCGGTGCATCGTCGTCACCATCCTGGGGCCTCTTGGTAGGATGGGCCGGCGGAGGCGGGGTGAGCAAGGGTGACAAGAACTGCGTGATGTCATGCGACACAGACAAACGCTTCAGCTCTGCATCCAACGGCTTGGTAGCTCCCACTGGTTTCTGGAGCTTTCCTTCAAGGTTGTTCGCTGCCCTGATGAAGAGTTCCTTATCTGCTGCTACAATCTGGGACAAGGAGACCTTGGTGTACCCGGTGGGAACCTGCCGCTGGGTCAGTTCGAAGATGGTGTTGACCCACTCCTCCATCACCTCAAAGGTGCAGAGGTTCCCTAGGTCCAGAGCCAGCGAGCGGCGAAAGAAGGCTTGCCGAAGCGCATAAGCACCATTTGTGTCGCAAACAGGATGAAAGAAAAATTTCTTGCCTCTCTCTTTGAGCAGACTCGCGGGAAAGCCAAAGGTATCCGATCTGCTTATTCAAAGACAATGAAAGTTCTCATGCAAGAAATGTTCTTCAAAACTCACATGCAAAACACGGCAGCTCTGCTGCCTGTCAGGTTTTTAAAAGAAAGAAAAGTCTGCAAGCAGAAAATGTTCGTCCTACAAACATAATATCGTTCGTGTCTTCAGAACCGACTGCAAACTCCTTTTTGATCGATTCAATCACGGCCTTACGAAAGGTGTCATCACCGGCCATGCACAGGTCATCTACATGTAAACAGACTACTCCATGTACCTGTCTACCCTTGGCATTGTTGCCTGCTAGGAGATAGTCAATCGCTGATTCCATGGTCTTTGGCTGAGACTTCTTGATCTCAGCATCTGCTGTTGCAGACTTCTTACCATACAGAACATATGTACAGCGATCCGCACGGGTTGGCACCAGGCCGTAAGACAGGAGTGCCTTATCAACGATGTTCCACCATCTTCGAGGTGCATCGTTAAGTCCATAAGCGGGTTTCTTCATCCTCGCTGCAATGTAGGGAGGATAACCTGCTTCAGGAGGAATCTGACAGATTATGTCTCTCGACTCATCATAGGCTTCACCCTGCAGAAAAGCAGTCTTTAGGTCGATGTGTGTCAGATTCCACAGCTTGTTAGCTGCTAGTTGAATCGCTAAGCGGAAACCTGGGCGACTCGCAGCAGGACTATCAGTTTGCTGTATGTCCTTTTGTCGATCCTGGAAACCTCTTAGGACCCATCGGGCCTTGCACTTAAGGAAGTTTCCGTCCTTATCTCTTTTTAGAGTCAGGACCCATCGACCAGTGACATAATTTCGGATGTTTCCGAGTTTCCGTGTATCGACGAGCTCAAAGACATCATTGTCTAGCCAGCTCTGATATTCTGCTGCTTTCGCTTCATCAAACTGTTTCTTCATCTCACGCTTTTCTTTGGCGGTTGCCTCCTTCCGTTGTGCCTTCTGGGTCAGATTTGCTGAGTTCCTGGGGGAACTTAGGGATAAGGCCTTGTCCTCTTCCGTGAGAAGATCATACTCTTCACGGATGTCAGATCGGAACCTTTTGGTGGGTTTATACCGTGTTCGGTCTGACCTCACTCTTGATGTTACCTCTCTGATGTCTACGGGTCCGCCATGCATGTACCGAGGCATGGAGAAAGAACCTGTGTTACTGCACAGTTTCTGTTCTTCTGTGAGAAGGATCCAGTCCTTCTCATCTACGACCAGGTCACCTTCCTCATCAGAGTAATACCTTGTGTCTTCTGACTCGGCATCGCTCTCCGGTTCTGGTGAACCAGAGGTGTGAGGAGGAGCGGACGGTTGTCCGGGGTCGTCCGGGACCAGTTCTTCTTCAGAATCTTCTTCATCTTGTTGTAACGGAAGAATGGGTCCCTGTGGATGTGCCTTCGGTTTAGGTTTTGGTGTCGGCACCTGTGAAGGTGATTTCTGTTTGTGCGGCGAAACTTTCCTTTCCGATGAAGACCTTGGCGACACATCACCCCCCAGACGCCGAGGAGACGGAACGCGAGGAGGCGGATGCACGCGAGGCTTAGCCCGAGCAGGAGCCACGGGCTCATCGGAGGAAACGGCCGGTAGTCGCGGTGGAGGTATGGGAGGAGGAGGACGCGACGGCGGCGTGCCGGGAGGCATCGGCTGATCTGGTTCCGGCATAGAGACATCGTCAGATGTGATCCGTGAGCGATTAGTGCTCATGGGTTCTGACGGGTCTGACGGCGAAACCTCTTCGTCCGACATGATAACATCCGGCGGTGTTCGCACGGACGGTGAAGTCTTGCCGCCTGTCATCTGGAAGAGCACCCCCGAGAAGGTTGATGGGTGTACTTTATTCCAGGAAACCTGGTGCGGCAAGCAACACGTCATAGTCGAATTGGGCTTCTTCTTGTTCCAGAAGACAAGAACGCCATCAGTTACACTGGTGAGTGCTTTGACTGTTCCAAATGTACCTCTGTATAGAGTACACTGTTCGAAACCAGACCCTGGTAAGAGTCTTGATCTAAGGCGAGTAATGTCTGACACCAAGGCATCAAGGGACGGTGATGGTTTGGAATGATGCAATGGTAATTCAGTTTTACTCGATAAGGAATTTACTCTAGCAACAAGTGATCTGATTTTCGGATCTTGCAGGAGTTTGGAATCCTTGAGAGGATTTGCTGTCAAAAGTGAATACTCTTGGTCAAGAAGTTCCGAAAGTCCCTGGAGGCATTCATCTCCAGAGTATCCT